GGGGGGGGGGGGGGGGGGGAGCAGGAATTATTTATTAAAACAAGCTCATTCCTTCAGTGTACACGTAGCTGCTAACAGATATCAACAGGAAAGCACATTAATGTTGACTGAGGAAAAGTGTAAAAACCCGCCAAAAAGCTTTCAGCCCAAAACACTGCAGATTTCTCTGTCCAGGAATGACACATAAAAATACATTTTTAACGAAAAATACAGGATATTTGCGCCAACCTTAATGACAACCAAAATGCAAACACATTTCAGCATTCTTCAATTAAAAGGTTTGTGAATTTCACCTTTTTTTGAATTTTACCACATTTTCTCATAGAAGCCTACAAAAACATTAAATCATGGTACCAAAACAAAGACTGAAAGAAGGTATTTCAGGACATTTGTAGCAAAATCTCACAATTTGCGCCACTGAAATTAGATTGAGGTCCCTTCTCCGTATCGCAAAAACTAATTTAAATAGTATCTTTATTTGATATCAAAATGAAACATACTGGCTTATTAAATCTAACCTGGGCCAATTTTCAAATTTTCCCTGCTGGTACCTACTGCTAATATGTTTATCCAAAGCAAATTATAATTTAATTCTCAATATTTTACTGGCCAATAAGCTTCCCCAAAGGAATGAGAGTGGGACCCTTTTTGGGCACTCGAACCCATGGACTGCATTACTTGTTATCACCATGGTCACAGCTTCTGCTTTAAGCCTCTGAGCTCAATCTAAAATAGCCTTCAAGTAATACTCGGTGACTTGAAAATGCAGGTTAATGGGCATTACCATTACATCCTCTGCGGACGGCTCTCGGGACTCGGGGTTCGAGAGGAAGGTTGGGTCGTCCAGCTTCTGTTCCTGCCAGCTGCTGAAATCTACACCATGTGGGGTGTAGCTTGAAAGGTCTGCTAGCAGAAAAAATATAAAATATATTTTAAACAAAGCAATACAATGTAATCACAAACCCTACATCATTTTTACCAGATGCCATACAACTTACAGACTCTCACCACTAGGTGTCTCCACTGATGTCATAGTAGCAGCTGTACCAAGTTGCACCTCCAGCTATTCGGAGATCGTTGGAACTATTTTTATTTCCCCCCACTCCTTTGTTACCCAACCTACTCCTTCTGGTCTATGTGGCCAACAAATATGACAGATGTATTATACCGACAGGGGGAAGTGGCTCACACACCCCCAAGTTCTTTTTAAAACCCTGCCTACGTTTTCACTGATGTTCTGTTAACTTTGGAATATGCTTTGTTTCGTCACCATCTGGCCCAGCTTCTCACCCGTGCTGGAGGAGCCTTGCGTGGGAGAGATGGAGTAGCTGGGCCGTGGGATGGAGATGCGCTCTGCCTTGGCCGCCTCCTCCTCCTCCTCCTCCTCCTCCTTTTCCTCGTCATCATCATCGTCACCCCACAGGCTGCTCTCCGAGGGGTACTCGAAGGTGCTGTGCAGGCTCGACTCGTTGAAGGAGATCTTCAGCTGCCGGGTGTGAATGGGGAACACGGTAACAGGGGGGGGGGGCACAAATCTGAACTGGCTGAGGCCAGAACAAAGGTGCAGTGACTGAAAAGTCTGTATTTCCAAATGCGAAAATATTTTTTAAAAAAAATACACACAACGGCCACACAACCCTGAAGGCTAATCCGATCAATGAAGGAAGTTTGCAGACAAGACCGGTGAGGAAATGTCCAACACAAGGCAAAACAAACAAGATGCTGCAGGAGCACAGCCAACAGGGGGTGAGGTATTTATAAACGTATACACAAAGCGGAAAGGCCTAAAAATAGCTTTATATCACACCAAACTGTGCTCCATGCTGCATAGTAAGGCCCATCCTCTGGACAGAGAGCCGTCTCAGGTGAGCAGCAGTTCATCCCCAGGCCGGCGTCCCCAGGCCGGCGTCCCCAGGCCTTCAGAAGTTCATTTTTGCCTCTTTGCTATTCGATTAGTCTCCACATGCCAACCCCTGTCCAGCTTTCAGGGCACTTACACTCATCCTGCACTGCATTACACACCGTCCCTGTTTAAAAATGACGCAGTAACATAATGTATACTGTAGCACTGTTTTATAAACATTAATTTTATTTATTTACTATTGTAGGGTCCAAACATGCAGTTTCAATAAATGTGCCTGACTGTATTTTGCCAGAATCTTCTCTTTTCATTATAATAATAATAATAAAATAATAATAATAATAATAATAATAATAATAATAATAATAATAATAATAATTATTATTATTATTATTATTATTATTATTATTATTATTATTATGAAAAGAGAAGATTCTGGCAAAATCCAGTCAGGCACATTTATTGAAACTGCATGTTTGGACCCTACAATAGTAAATAATATTCTGCACTAAAACAATATGGGGGATAAAGACCATAAGGTGTAGAAACACCAAATTTGGTGAAGTGGTGGAAAATTCCCCCCTGCTACTCAGGATAGTAAAACTATACCCACCAGCCTGATGGTGGCGCTATAGTGCAATGTTTTACGTTTTGGCCTATATTAATGCATCTGCTTTCTTACTAGGAGCTTTTGTAATGTAGCTGGACAAGCAAAAATGTCTCACCTGGAGGGGTGCAACCTATTTAACGTTTTCAACCGTCAATAAATGTGCCTTAGTTAAAATAGCCACTGCACACTTTAAAACACAGGATATTTGACAATCTGTGTGTTTGTTTGTAAAAAAAAGTAAAAAAAAAATAAAAATCAAGGCGATTTCTGCCTGCAGGTTCAGTGAAGCTCAGATTTGTTGGCAGGTAACTTGCAGTACTGGTCTGCATGTGATTACGTCATAGATATCGACAGATAAGAAGACATACCTAAAGGAGCATAAACCACAAGCAAGGTTACAAAAAATGTATTTATATACATATTCCATAAACAACATGCCCTGAGCACAGGGCCCCTTTAAACCTGCCCCACACTGCTCCAAGCATCAACAACGGCACCAGATAAGAGACCAACTAAAGATCCCTGCTGTCAGCACAATGTGAAAGACCGAAGGCCGGCCCCACACACACTTCTCGGGCGTCTATGGGGAGAGCCTCGTAATCAAGGTGAGCCGGTCACAGGGAGACAGGAGCTGACCACCTCCGCCTCCACCCCTCCACCAGCAGGGGAGTCAGCTGACACACAGGTCCACAGGAGGACAGATCTGACTGTGACCACCTCAGCCTCTATACACATAACAAAAACCAGACATGTTACTTATGCAATTGGTTCCAAAACTCTTGATTCCCACAGACCGCTTTACGTCATGCAAAAAATGTCAGACTGGTACAATGGCCAGGGGGGTGTAGAGGATTGATCAGCAAGTTTAGCCATTTTTATCAGATGCAAACATAATACGCAAACATGAGGGAGTCGTAAAAAATTTAAAATATATATTATTTTTTTGTATGTTAACCAAAATCCATAGCGTTCCGCAGCCCGCTGGAATACTAGCTTCGGATCAGTTCCTGTCCGTGAACCAACTTAAGGCCTTCCGCTTGTGCACTATTCAAAAGGCATTCACGACAAGACCTAAAATCAGTAACAGAATGAGAACAAAGGCTATCTGAAGGTCATTAGCTTGATAATAATTTGCTTAGCCTATCAGAGCTCAGCCAGCTGACTCGGGGGCTTCATTGGGTCTCGCTGATATGAAAAGGAAAGAGGAAAAAAAATAAATCATTGTTTCCATTGCCATGTGGTACTACATTGGACACACTGGTTTATTTATATCCAATACAAATTTCTCAGAAATTCCCAAAGAGTTTGGTCTGAGTAACCAGGGGATGCAGGCAGTGACATGTGTGTGACCAGGGATCGTTCTCACTTCTCTCTGGGCCAGCAGCACTCTTTTTGCTTAACCACAGTGTTTCGATTCCCTCTCCGGCACTTCCCCTCTGCCACTGGCTGTAAAAGCCAGCATTAATCAAGAGCAGAAGGGATCTACTTTGCTGCATGGACTTCACAGTGGGCTCATTCAAGCCCCCGGGGACGTTCTCATTCAGCACCGCACGCTTCTGCGGTGTTGATAAAGCCTAGTGTGCACCCCCCACTCCCCGTCCCACCAGACACACTTTGTGGGACAGACTACAGAAGTACCCAACTATTTAGGACCTTGGGTTTGGGAACAGGGAGCCTGACATCCAGGGGTGGGAATGAGGGATGATGCATCGGTTGATAACAGGAGCCTTGTGCACATGCGACCTCGTGCCAGAAATGCGACGCTTGGCACCATCTGCATGGACCCGTCCCCCGGTTTGCCGGAGACTCTTGAGGACAAAGGGAAAGGGCAGATGGGGAGAACATCTGCAACTGGGCAAATTAATGTTCCGAGACAGGCCAAGGCAAATAGGTGGGTATTTTCCACAATGAGGTAGGAGATGTCTACAACAAGATAGGCCAAGGCAAAGATTGGCAATGTCAACAAGACGACAGGGGTAAGGCGGACAAGGAAGACACAGACTATAATTAGACAGGCCAAGGTAGAGATGCACAATATATCGATTAACATGTTAGCGTTACCCAATATTTGCTGGAAATCAAGACATTGGCCTTTGTCCGATGTGCTAATCTTGGTCGATACTGCTGGCCGACATTTAGATTTTAGTCAATATTCAATGATGGCAGCATGAGAGTTAAAGACATAACCACTGAAATAATGGACAATCAGCCATTTTCAATAGAGGAGGATGAGGGATTTTGTTGGCTCATTCACCACTTAGAAGTCTCAGGGCAAGGAGGGTCTAATATGAAACAAGCTACAACAAGAGGGGGGAAGGTCCATGATGGACAGACTATGATGGGGACAGTCAATGAAGAGAAAGTGAAGGCAAAGGGGGAGGTCAATGACAGGCCAAGGTAAGGGGGTGAGAGGTTTATGACAAGATGGGCTAAGGGATACAAGAGGGGGGTCTACAACAAGACAGGTCAAAGAAAGGGTGGTCTACAATGAGAGAGGGCCAAAACAAGGGGGAGGTGGTCTATGATTTGGCAGAATAAGGAAAAGGAGGGAAATGTCGATGACAACACAGGCTGATGCAAGGAGGGGTAATGTCTCCACCGAGACAGGCCAAGGCAAGGGAAGAGGTTCCACGATGACACAGGGCAAGGAAAGGGGAGGAAGGTCTACAACGAGACATGCTAAGGCAGGGGGAGGGGTGCAATCCTTGCGTCTACCACCCATCAAGTACTGAGGATCTGACGACGGATGCTGTTGTGGAATGCCAGGGTATGAGGAAGCTTGCTAAGGCTTCTCAGCAAGGATGGTGGATAGGTTGAGGAGACACTGCTGATTTTCAACTGCTGAGTTTAATATGAGCACCAGAGAGCATAAAACAAGGGACAATAAAAGAATGAACCACCCCCCTGCCTGGCCTCCCCGGTTTGTTTTTTTCTTTCCTTTTTCCTGTTATGCTCACGTTCTTTGTCTGAGCCATAAACTTGGGGCGTGGAGCGCTCCACTGCATATCCATCAGAGGCTGTGAAGGGAGAGGGTGGGAAAGGCACGACTTCAATGATCTCCTTCCCAGGGGAATGCAGGGACGGTCACAGACACACCCTGCCTCCCTCGAGACACAAGGAAAAATGTCAGCCACAAGCCCACAGACACAACAGACGTAAATGAACGACCCAACCCAGCTCCTACATTAACAACAAAACACACCTCAGGCCCAGTCATTTCCAGAAGAGCTCCTCCTCGCGTCCCGTTCCTCTGCAGTCACCCGAGACCACAGCGGACCGGTACGGCATGACGGCAGTGGGGTGACAGGATACACCGAGCAGCAGCAAGTGAGGGAACGCACTGCGTCCTGTGTGCATTATTTACAGTGTAGCCAAGCTCCCAGGCATTCCCCTTCTGAGACGTGGCAACTTAGCAATGCGACTGCGTGGGACCCCGCAAGTCAGCACTGGCCTTCAAAACGCCACATGGAGCGCGACAGAGACGCTTCGAATTACATGCTTCTCTGGGGCCAGCATATTCGGAAATGCGTCTCAGACCTGTGTGGTCCTGACCCCGTTCCTGAGCAGCCGTGCGAGGAAGTCATGTATCTGACTGTCCCGTTGGCCTCCAGGAATTCTAATGATGGGATAGAATGGCCAGGGCTGATGTTGCCCGGTGACAGGAGGCACAGATACGGCCCCGCAGAGGCAGCGAAACGAGAGAGCGGGGACATGGATGCCCGGAAGCAGAGCCCGGAGAAGAGGACCCCCCCCCCCTCCTCCGGAAAGAGAACCGGTCCCTCTGGAACAGACACACTTTCCAGAGACCCTCTTTGGATGAAGCAACGATCCAAATTCTAAATGCCTGGGAAAAAAACCCTCACTGAGTCATAGTTTCAAAAAGAATCACTTCAATATTTGTTTTCACAGAAGCCCATTTGACTAGAATTTGCTTGGTGAGGATATATACACATATTCACCAGGCACAAGACATGCCCACTCCCCAGTGCTGATAATAAAACAAGCTGCTGTGCCC